ATGATGATGGTCCGACGGATATTGGGTTATCGCACGTTGTTCCATTCAGATGTCCGATTGTTGATGAATCTAGTTGTTTATAAATTCATCATCTTCCCGTCTTGCGGATTCTTTTTCCTTTCCCATTATTTCATGATCGTACATGAGTGGATAACGATAAATTTCATACATTTTCTGGGTACCAATACATCCCATAAATCTAAGGGTTCTGGCAGACTGGGAGCGGCTGATATTCAAGAATCGATTGAAAATAGCTTCTTCCGTCAAGCCAGGGAGCTATCTGTGGAGACACTGGTCAAATAAGCGTGATGATAATAACGTGGTACTCCTGCAGTGTATACAACTCAAAGTATGTACGATGGCTTAGATAATGCCAGCTTGCCGCAGTCTAGATACGAATAGTTGACATGTCAAGATTGGGTTCGAACCACGAACCTTCCGGTGAGGAATGTTGGGCCCCACCCATGTCAGTACTCAAGCTCTCTCAGATAATCTTGTTCATGTTCTGAATCAACACAACCCGTATGGCTCACGTTCAACCAATCCATCTTGCTGGTACCTGTAAGGGGCTCACATCTGTGGTGTCTAGGTTTGATAGAATGGATTGGTGAGCGCCGTTCAGGGAAACCGTATCTTAGTTCCGGAATGGGTTAATTTTGATGGTTTTCTTGAGTAACGACGTTATTAAGACTAGGGTCTGTCTCAATCACTACTTGAAGAGCGGCTCACAACCATTCAAATAAAATACAATCTTATGGAAGTAAATTAACCTCCAAAATAATCTCTCAGCGTTAACACCCTTCCGGCGCCTAGCTGCCATGCTACCCGAAGGAAGCACGAGGGCTGGGAAACTGCAAGGTCGCCCAAGCCTAGACAGGGAAAATCAAGAGACAGAGGTCGGGTTCGAATCACGGACCTTCCGGTCAATGAATTCGCTCACCAACCACTTGAGCCCTCTCACCCCCAGCCTCCAAAATTTGGATCTCTACAGTAAATACTAATCGAATTTCGAGTAGATAAGCGACCAGGATCAACCGGAGATGGCACTAGTGGCTGCCGACTGAATCAGACATTATAAATCCGTACACTGCCTCTGTCGGTATCGTGGCCTGTGCTGTTCAACAACAAGAATCGTGAGAGCTGGAACAACGCCAAGGGAGCACAAAGCCTGGGCTCGTTTCTAACCACACTCCCCTTGGTCAGCAGTTCATAAGTGAGTCATCTCAATATTTAGGCTACGGAGAGCGGGATGTGAGCATGCCGCGTGCTAGTTGATGACTTGTCCCCGAACTGTGTGAATGTAAACAGTGTGTCTAGATTTTATCGCCGACGGAAACGAGAGCACACGTCACAGCATTGCTAAGCGAGTTTCGACAGAACCTATTCACAAATGAGAACTTGAATTTTGGTCAACTTTTATTGTTAGACAAAGCAAAAATACATTCACAGGCCTCTACTCGTATGTTAAACACGAATTTCGTAAGATACAGTGTTGGCACTTTGCTGATCCCTTTCTATAGTAGGACTTTGAGCTTGAGGTTATTTGAAATCCGTCGGCCAACCGACGTAATCCGTCTCCCTGTCATCATCATCAACAGCGTACTCGTCGTACTGTGGTTGTAGCTGCCGCAGTTTCGTTCACCGATGGTTTGGGGGGAGAGGGAGGTAGCTGCGCGTTGCAGGCGGGAGCTGATAAATTGGTGCATAAATCCAGCACTGTCAGTGGGCTGTCAAGTGGTGAGGAGGTTGGAAAAGGAGCTATGCATTGAAGGCAATAGCTTTGATTCACGAGCGCCATTGAGGGCGCGACTGGGCCATATATGAGAATGTCTCTAGCCATTGATGTGGCCCGTCTCGGGTTCCCCATCCAGGAAGATGGCAATGACCAGCGCAGCTTAGTTTGCTGGTAATGGCTTCCATACTTCGCTGCCAAGTCATTGGTTGACCGCCTCTGACTCTCTTCCAACCTTCACGTGGTTGTGCGAAAAGAGCCCTTCGAGGAAGTCGGTCGACTGGCATACGGGGCACGTGGCCAAGCCAGCGCAACCTATGCAGTGTGATCAGTTCATCTATCGAGGGTGAGTTATTTCCTCCGAATACCATTCAACGTACTTCAGAATTGCTGATCCGGTGTTCCCACCCGATTCGGGCAATGCTCCGAAGACATCGATGGTCAAACACCGAAAGTCTTTTGATGTCCTCGGCGTGTAGCGGCCAGGTTTCTGATCCATATAGTAATATGGAGCGCACCGTAGCATTGTCAACTCGACCCTTGACAGGGAAGCTGATGTCACGCCTACGCCACAGATGACGTAGGTTCGCAAAAGCTGCTCTGGCCTTCCCAGTCTGAATGGAAATTTCCTCTTTCGTGAGACCACCGGGACTGATACAGCTGCCCAGGTAAACAAATTTGTCTACTACCTCAATCGGTTCATCCGCAAGCATGAGGCTAGGGTTTGAGCCCACCCAATCTTGCAGTAACACTTTACACTTTGCAGGTGTGAAGCGCATGCCGAACCGCGAGGATGAAACTATACAACCGAGACGAGCAATTCTTCCCGGTCTTTTGGGTGAATTTTTACTTCTATTATCATTTTTACTCTTAACTCTGTGTGCCAATACATGGACATACTTCCATGAGGAGATTGTTGCCTGGGAAGGAAACCAAAATGGAGGTGACTTGACGTGGGAAAGGACGATTGTTTACTGGTTGGGCATTGTAGTTCCGCATTTTCGAACAGCAGCGAAAACGCTAGGCTGGTATCTGTGTTCATTTCACTAAAACCTTGATGTTTTCCTGAAAATGTGCTTCAGTTGTCAGTTCGCGTAACTGCGTTGCCTGGGATGTGGCTGGCTAAGTTCTGTCACCTATTGACATTGACGCCAGTCTAACACAGAATCGAGAGCGCCACATGTTTCGTTCTCAGCTATATTAGTTATACTGTCGAGATCATCCTGTGAAGTGAACTTCTTCATGCTCATCGAATACGCACTTTGTCGGTTTCCGTGGAATCTTATCACCCGATCTCTAGCACCCGACCGCAATCCCAAATCTGTCCTCCTGATCCATCTAGGGCACTAGCCCCTGTGCCATTTATGTTAGAAAAATCGTGAAAAGAAAATAGGTGGAACAGTGTCTGTCTGGTTTCACAAAATAGAGCTCCTGGTGGCATTTTTGCGCAGTCAGTGACAAAATCGGATGGAATTCGCGACCCGTACCGTATAGTCACCGTCAGCTAACAACAGTGACTCTGCACTCAGTTGTGACGGGACTGTTCACATTCGTACACGGCAGTGACATTTATGCATCGCAACAGAATTTGCCCGGCGGTATGCTTGCCAGCACATAATCGAGTGCCACACTGAAAAGGGACGTAAAGCATAATATAGTGTATCTGTGGGTGTTGCTTTCAGCTGCGATCGCAGTTTGTTGCACAGTTTTACGGCCACTTTGTCACAGCCAATTAGTTTTTTGGGCAACACGTTTAATGACCAACAACTCATTAATGACGATCGGAATACGACCAGGCCGGTGATAATCCGTTTACCGTCACCTGGAATTTTGGGTCTCTGAACGGACGGAAGTGGGAAGTGGATTGAATGTATTTTGTCCAGTAGTGAACAAGTCATTTTTGTCCTTCGGGATAGAATTGCCGCAATATACACGACGTTTTAACCGTTCTCCTGAAGACTAATTGTTCCCTGCAGATCTGCATCTCAGTAGTCATGATAGATGCATTTTAACACACCTATGTGCCTTGGCCCTTTAAACAAGTCTGCCTAGCTAAACACGAATAAGCTTCACTAAACCACAACTATCTGGCAATGCAGTGTAGATTTACGTATGATGCTTTTATCATTTCTCAAACGTTCGTGATTTTATAACGAATGATGCTGTTTCGTTAGTTAAATTATCGATGGGGATGCATCAACCTTAGTAAAGAAGATTTTGATGATTTTGCAGAATATTGAATCGGCATTGTTTGTTGCGCGATCTGTTCAACTTGCTGATGGACTAGCAAATCAAGATTAGACGCCTAGTACCCTAATTGCGCAATCAGCCTTCTGTCTTCACAATCAGTTAGATTCAGTTAAGTCTCCCGTTAAAACCAAATTACTATGCAGTCGAGTGTATTTCGTGAAGTGTGTCTAGTCTGCGCCCAACGTAAGGCGCTGATGGAAACTCGGAGCCTACCCGGTGATCTCAAACAATGGCGAAACCAATAGTTGGCCCTGGGAGAGCTTTCAGCAACTTTATGAGTAGTGTTGTCCGTCTTCCCTGTTATTGGAGTGTATTTCACCCTTTAAGGTGGATCACAATAGAGGAAATTCTGTAAGAATATTATCGGTGAAAGATGAGTCTTCTTTAACAGAGATGGCTTCGTGTTTAAGGAATACTGTACAGTAAGCCAGAAGTCTTCCCACTCGAAAGCGACAGCGGCAACAGAGCAGACCACCATGACAGCGAGTAAACTGATAAACAGCACTCCAACGAGTAGTTATTTCCAGGAGGGACGGTCAGTAGTTTGAATGAATGAATTACTAATCAGTTGCGCTGATATTTCACTAAATAAGAATACCTTTGTAAGGGTCGTGGAATTAGCCGTGATATTCTAAAGAAGAAAACGGCTAATCGGAGGTTGTTCCGTTTCCACTCAGGGCTTGAGTCTCGTTCAGCTGTAACGCTTTTCCGGTGCCTAGCTGCCATGTCACCCGAAGGAAGCACGAGGGCTGGGATACTGTCAGGTTGCCCAAGCCTAGACTGGGGAAGTCGACAGGCAGAGGTCGGGTTCGAATCACGGACCTTCCGGTCAGTAAATTCGCGCTCTGACCACCTCACTTGAGTCTAAGTTGTGACGTGTTTTCTACCCGGTTACGAGTGAAAGGGAGCTACGTGACACCGGACTAATCTAGCTTAACCTTACTGATTTTCCTATATCCCGTCCGATAGATGTTGAATCTGGCGCCCTCACCTACTGTTCGCTTCCCCACTGTTATAGGGCAGTGTCTCTGCGCATCCGGATTCCAGTGACCGCAGCTCCGCAACGACCGATATGATGCTTCCAAATACGACAAGCACTGGTGACAATGTTCAGTTGAACTTTATCAAACATGATTTGGAGTTGAAACAACGCACACTGGCCGAACTGGAACGCGTCAATCTACGACGAGCTGTGGTTGAAGAACGCCGTCGTTTTGCCGAACTCATCACGTGCTTGAAGCCAGTCCTAGTGAGTCATAGTTGATGCTTGTTTGACAACAATGAGTCTTGTTGGGGCGAAAACCAAATTTTCGTCTTTGCTTTACTTTGGTTCGAATCACGGGTATTGTATTCATTAACTCAGTCAACACATGTGCTTCTTTCTATTTTATAAAGGAATTTTTAGCCACGTTCCTTGTGCATAAAACATAGTATCCAACCTGCCCACGCCGTCCATATTGGGAACCCTCAGGTGGGCATCAAGGGGTCGCAGTTTTTTACCTTTTGGAATATGCATTTGCTGACTAGTTTGTGTAGGTTCTATCACAAGCACTACGGTACGCTCAATCGGTCTGTGTCGAACTCTTGCGCCCAGCGTACTGCATCAAATGTCCGCCTTCTGTAAACTTCCAAACGGATACCTTTTGCAAAACCACCATAACTCGATGAGGACCGCCCCAAGCGTTCATGAGAAAGGAGAGCATCAAAAACCAGAATTGAAATACCTGTGTAGTGCGCTTCCTTGCTTAATTATGCCAAATGGGTCTATAACTATGGTTCTAATGGTTCTAATGGTCTAATGGGTCTAACTATACGGCTAACTGCCCACAAGCTAATGAAATCTTGTTCACGTGGTGCATAACTGTTGTGGTTGCATCTTATCAGGAGGTCGTGTGAAGAGACCTACACAAGGGCCCTTCTCCGAGCGGATCACGATGAACGATGATGAGTAATGATAATAACCACAAGCGGTCTCTTCTGAAGTTGATCTCTCTAGGTTGGAAGAACTATATCTGGAGAGAAGTGGATAAACGTCACATCACCAAACGGTGAAGCTTCCTTGTTTAATGCACAGTACAATTCTTCAGAGGATGCCCTCATTTTCAACTCACGTGGCAAGTTTTTTGAATACTTGGGAGTCGATCCACATCTTGATGATGTGGTTTTCCCCCTTTAAAAAGAATGCTGTAAGAGAGACTCCCTATCCAAAGACCAATTTAGTTAGCCATGGGACATTCAATTGTCCATCTCCCTAAGGAGAGACGAACTTCAGAAAAAACCACTGTGTTTGACTGACGCAACGTCGTTGAGTGGTGAAATCCTTACCCAAAAATGAGAGACCGCTTTCGGTCGGTTCTTCATCAATGTCCCGCCTTTCTGTAGGCTACCGTAATGAACTTTGTTCTGTCTGTTTAAACGTGAATGACCGTGAATGCTACTGTGCATTCTTCAGAGAAGCAACCTCTCTGAGTATCATAAAGCCGAAGGTACCCCAAACCTGTGTTCATGTGCTTGCTTGGTGCCCTAATACAGAGGAATCCAACACACGGACTATGCCCTCCGGTCCCTATTCGGAGAGAAAGTTACCCATCGATGACACGTCGAGTGGTCTTTGTTAGTAGTTGGAGGTATCAAAAGGTATCAAGTTCAGATCGAATATCATGGAACTGGGACTAACATGGTCTTAATTGGTCTCTTGGAAAATTTTATATTCGAGACTACTGGAAATTTTGGAAACGATGCGGTTCACAATGACGGTACAGTTAGACGGTGGAGAATGGTCTCCTCAATCACGATTTGTGATCAGAGCACAGAAGCCTTGGAAGTGGATGTAAGCAGGCTACCTGGCAAATTGAAACATGGTTGTTTGTTTGAAAAATACATTCATTTGCATACCAATTTGGTTTTGAGGGGAGACTCACCTGGAATCCAGCTAACTCGCTCGTTTATGATATTCTTGTTGCGATAAGCTCTCATTTGCAAGCCTCCATTTTTTCTACTCTAACTGACATCGCTGGCACACCACATGAATTTTTCTGGGTTCTGCCAATTTCAAGTCAAAATTGGTTGAATATCCAATTAGCAACTGCTTAAGTGACCAGTTTTGAGAATTCGTACCATCCTGTTTAGTTTCGCCTATGTGGGCACTTCTGAGGAAGAATTAATGAATGAATGGATCTCGTCACCCAATCCCTCATTTTAAAAGTCTTCAATTCTAGATGCCTGCCTGTCTAAAACTGGCAGTTGTTGAATCATGCCAAGATTACCCATTTCCCATTTCTGGACACACTTGTCCTCGTCAACTTAGTAGGAATTAACGCCTAAAATGGTCGTCTTGACGAGAACACTGATAATGTGAGTGGGCCGTCATGCCCGGAAGCACCACTGTTGGATTTGGAGACGTTTCAAACGCGCTTATATGGGTATGGACAGATTATATTGGTAGATCCGTTGGAACAATTCTACTTCTCAGGATTCCCACCAAAGCCACTGGAATTCATGTGGCGGTGGCCTGTTTTTGGTCGTGTGACCTTTGAACCCTTGGACCAGGGGGTCGAACCCTGTTACATTTACCTGATAGTTCCCGATCAAAACGGNTGGATGTAAGCAGGCTACCTGGCAAATTGAAACATGGTTGTTTGTTTGAAAAATACATTCATTTGCATACCAATTTGGTTTTGAGGGGAGACTCACCTGGAATCCAGCTAACTAGCTCGTTTATGATATTCTTGTTGCGATAAGCTCTCATTTGCAAGTCTCCATTTTTTCTACTCTAACTGACATCGCTGGCACACCACATGAATTTTTCTGGGTTCTGCCAATTTCAAGTCAAAATTGGTTGAATATCCAATTAGCAACTGCTTAAGTGACCAGTTTTGAGAATTCGTACCATCCTGTTTAGTTTCGCCTATGTGGGCACTTCTGAGGAAGAATTAATGAATGAATGGATCTCGTCACCCAATCCCTCATTTTAAAAGTCTTCAATTCTAGATGCCTGCCTGCCTAAAACTGGCAGTTGTTGAATCATGCCAAGATTACCCATTTCCCATTTCTGGACACACTTGTCCTCGTCAACTTAGTAGGAATTAACGCCTAAAATGGTCGTCTTGACGAGAACACTGATAATGTGAGTGGGCCGTCATGCCCGGAAGCACCACTGTTGAATTTGGAGACGTTTCAAACGCGCTTATATGGGTATGGACAGATTATATTGGTAATGCAGATCCGTTGGAACAATTCTACTTCTCAGGATTCCTACCAAAGCCACTGGAATTCATGTGGCGGTGGCCTGTTTTTGGTCGTGTGACCTTTGAACCCTTGGACCAGGGGGTCGAACCCTGTTACATTTACCTGATAGTTCCCGATCAAAACGGTCAGCATCGCTCATCAGTGTTCCAGGATTGATCAGTACTGCCTTAGTTCATTGTATCATTTTTGTATCGAAGCAACGCTACTGCTGAAAACTCTTCAAACGTTGCCCCATTAACGTTTCGCCTTTCATGACAGACATGCATAAGCAAACGTTTGTCGGAATTCGCGATGACGCCTGTGAAGGTAGAAAGTTATTCGGTCTTATTCAAACGCGAGCTAATGTTGCATTTTAAGGCATTGTTTATACATCAATGGCCGCACTCTCATCCATTTCACAGTGGCACTGGTTTCAGGGCTCACTAAGTTACTTTCTTCAGGGGACGATCTAAATTTCGAGAAAGTTAAATACTACTTCTTGTCAAAAATCGAGGTGTATGTATCGTTCATTGGTTACCTCATCGGTACAGGCAATTCTATCCAAGCAGGATCATTCCCCCCTCCAAACAGGATTATTTGAATCGTGTCCATGGTTGGGGGCGAGATGGCTTAGTGGATATAGCGCGAATTCACTGATCGGAATGTCCGTGGTTCGAATCCGACCCATGTCTCTCGACTTCCTGTGTCTAGGCTTAGGCAACCTGGCAATATCCCAGCCCTCACGCTTCCTTCTGGTGGCATGGCAGTTCTCCGTGGTTGGTATTCGTCCCAGGTGACTTCTGTATTTATAAACAAACAAACAAGACACAGTGATCCACCTCACATCTACCTTCACATTCAATAATTTTGATAGCGTCCAATCTGGTACCTCAGCTACGCACATGGTGGACCAAAATATGGCGTGCATGAATCCAAGTTCATATCTGATCAACAACCAAATGCTGGCAGAGTGACTAATAAGCCAGCTGTTTCACTTCCATCATGGTACACGCGTTCCACTCTTTTTCCGGTCCTTATGTCCTCTCTATTGTATGTATTTGGATTCTTCGTTGCGAATCAGTCGTCCTCGTCTTTGCTGACATTTAGGTCTCAGCTCTTCATCTATATAAACAGTGTGCCAACTACCGGTTGTCTTGACGTATCTCTGTTCACCCAGGAAATGAAGAATAACGCGGGGGAATGGGTACAATTTTCTGTCCTAATGGGAGCAGGTTGGTGATGTTTAGGAAGCTGCGGCTTTGAAATATGCGCACCTCTGGTTATTCGATAAGAACCGTCTAGAAACAGCATAAACGAGAGTTTCATCCCGGGGTCCCAGCTGAGTCTCTCGTAAAAACTAGATTGGTATACAAATGAGTGTATTTCGCAAACAGTCTTGGATGTTTCTCGCAAGAAGAACTCTTCCACTTGTCAGTTTTCCGAGCCTCACTTCCTCCAAGCTTCCTTTCCACTGGTTAAAGCGCGAACCTAGTGACTAGTGGTTCGAACCCAACCTGTGCATCTCGACTGTCGTGTCTAGGTAGGCTTGGGCAGTATTTCAGTCCTCGTGCTTCGTTCAGGTGGCGTGGCAGCTAGGCACGATGTTTGCTAAGCTGGACGATTTTGCTGGTCAGATTTGCGATCAATCGTTCTAGTGCAACGTCTACCGTGTTCATCTCATTTCTTCTACCCACCTCACTTCGCGTGTGTTAAGGTTTTTCCTTATCAAATTTAGATATGCGCTTTTAATATCACCTTATCAAATTTAGATATGCGCTTTTAATGATCCGACGTTATATCATGTTTTATCATGAGGCACCTCCCACAAAGTGGAAAAAACTCAATCGGAAGGAAAGCACCTCCGTGCACCGCAGTATTCCTTTGAGGAAACAAAATTGCCAGAACCGAAACTGAGGGAACGTTTTGCCTTACCAAGCACTCTAGTTACTTCTGAATAGCAAACTTCCCTACTGGAAATGCCCAAAGCTCATGATTCGTGCTTTATAGTCCACTGTTAGCGAG